AAACCATAAGTAGAATCTTCACCTTCGTTGTCCTGTGAGGAAATATGCAGTCTGCATTGAATATTAGCACGTAATGGGCTTGGAGGATAGACTAGTACGATATAACTCCAACCCAAATTCAAAACAACAAAAATGGCAACGCACAGCAAATCCTAACAGTGGACTACCTGTGTGGTGCAGAGCAGCAGAGTGGGGACCGCATGAGGCTTGAGGCAAACAGACGCTCCTGAGTGGTCAAAACAGTCTTCGGTAAAGTGAGTGGAACACACAACAGATCTGGGCCGTGGCTGCCAGTTCACTCTGTGCAGGTTTCTGATCCACTGATTAAGTCGCTCTGGCTCATCAAATGGAAATCTGTGAAAATACCATGGGTTTCAATATTAGTTACTGACATAATGACTGTCAGACAAGCTACCAGCCTTAAAGGGCCCATATCATCGTTCACACTCAATTTTCCTCACTTATTTGACATGAAGGAGTTTGACATAAAAAAAATAAATAGTTTATTAATAAATATTTGTAAAATAAAGTTTTGATTACATCACTGTGCACCAGTGAGTGGAACAAATAATATTACTGTTTTTCATTTCCCATCAAGCCAAAACAAGACCTGTGTTCCACTCAGAAATAACATCAACTTTTTCAGGAATCTCACACAGACCTGCTTATGACATACTGTTATCTAGGCAAGGTATGTTGCATAACTAGAAACAGTAGTGGAAGCCATTTATTTTCTATAGATAAGCAAGTCTATTTGATAGTTAACAATTCATTGCAGTTTGCAGCAAGTGCATGATTTATGCATGTATTTTGCAACATTATAATTACTGAGATATAAGCTCCCATTACTTGTAGCTACAATGACCTCATTGTTCTGGAAAATCGGTTAAATTGTCATTTTTATTTTTTTGCTGAATTATCTAATTAAATAAATGCTGATATTTTGTCAACACTAAATTTGCAGGAGCTAGTGGTGCAAAGTTAGACCCTTGAAATTAATAATAATGCTGTAATGCTAATGTCCACATCAGCATTTTCAGATTAACTGTTCCTCTAATATCATCAGTGTCCAAAAAAACAAGTATCTCCAAAATGGTAATTTTAAAGGAGAAAGCAAAAATTTTCTTAACTTTGAATGAGAGATTTAATTAAGTCATTTTGAACCATTTCTATTGTTCCGTTCATCATTAAATTTTCACACATTGTAAATGGTAGCAGCTATATTGAAATTTTGGAAAAAAATTGAGAAATGGAGATAGATGTTTTCTTTCTGGACAGTGACTATGTACAGCTGAAGAATCAATGCTGCAAATATTTAAAAAGGAGACGTTTGTGTGTCACAAAAAATGAACACACATTTCTAACTGCATGAATTTCTTCAAGCTAAAATTTCCAATTCATTCTATAGTCACTTTATTCTCACCGATGAAAGGTCAGGCCCAGCATCCTCTCCAAAGGCCCATTGTAGTTATTGCAGCTATAAACAGCACAACGGTATTTTTGTGTTGCTTCATCCATCTCCATGCAGAACCGGCAATTGCCAATCCACTCCTCGATGTCTCTGGTAATAGTGCCCCAGTAATAAAGCTCAGATATCGAGTTCAAACATCTTTTCAAACCAAAGTGTCCTCTTTGGTCATGGTGCTCCTTTAGCACATTAATGACCTCTTCTCTGCTTCGAAGAACTCTGCGAAGCCTGGAACCGTGGCGGTAATGCAAGACACCATCTAAGAATAAGAGACAAACAAACAGTGATCTGACATGATAAACCAAAAAAACATTTTTTTGTGTGTGTTTTGTCAACACTATTTGAAACTTCCAATTTTTTAAAAAATCTAATAATGTATACCAAGTACTAACTTGTCCAGACAGTAAAGCGCAAATCTTTTCATATTTTAAAGGGGCATTCTACTGATATGTCAAGATCTCTGCATAATTCAATTGTTGAGATGTAAACAACACATTCAGTGTGGTTTGATGTGTAATCATTCATTGTAGAGAGTTACTGACTTTTCTTTTATACTGTGCTCATGATAATATTCAGAGGTTGTGATGTCAACAGTGCAAATACAGCCATTTTATTTATTATCCAAAACAACCAGCCTACACGTGTCTTCTGACTTATGCTGATGATGGTGAAATAACTGTAAATCTGGAAAAAACTGTTTTCTTTGGGAACTTTTTTGGCTTACAACACCCTATAATTTTTTAGTTCAAGTCGTCTTTGTCATTCCTTGATATAACTTAAATACAGTGGTAAATGAAATATCACAACAGGCCAAAAGATGATCTCAAAACTCATAAAACTCATCATAACAGGGTTTCAAACATCAAGTAGCACACATATATGTATTTTATGTAATATCTTTTTGTGAGATAAGTTTCATAGGCATGAGACACTTCGGACATCTAGCTCCTGTAGGTTTCTCTTGAATGACACATCACACGTCAAACCACTCTGAATGACTTTGTTTACATTTTAACTATGTTAAACATGAATTGTCCAGAAATTGTCGAAAAATGTTTGGAATTCATGAAATTCCCTTTAGCTTGATCAGATTCATGCTAGCGGTCTTCCATCATCCCATGATCCCTTGCTTAAAATCGTACAAATATCATCCGTTTGAGATCTGATTGATTTCTATTGTCTGGCAAAAATGGCTTGAGCTTACCTTGAAGACAGAAGCGTTTGGCACATCTCTTGACAGCATCTCTCCTGCAGTAAGGCATACTGCTGTATACACCTGTGCGCAGGTATTTCTCCAAAGCATCATATTTTCTGAAATAAGGCTCAGATGTGGAGATCAATAGGGGGCTGTTCATGCTGCTTCCATTTGTGCTGGTCTGCACAGTGTGACCTTTGGAATACGGATGTTCCATATGGACCAAATCCTCATCTACCGAGGGGTGCTCATCCTCCACAGATTCCATGGAGACATCCACCCAGCATTCATTACTGACCTGTTTCAGTAATAAAATGTAATAAATGGCATTTTTGTGTAGTTGTGCATCAGATACCAGCATATCAGCACACATGAATGACAACAAAATTACAGGTGTTAACTGACACTGACTTCCTGTGGATATGCAGATGATTCAAGTGTGGGCACAGCATCAGATTTAAGGCAAATTCTGTCTCCACTTTGTTCAAAGCTGTCCTCTGTGAAGTGTTTGGAACATATAGCTGATCTGCTGTGGATGGACCAGCGGTCCCTTTGAGCGAAGCTGATCCAACAGTTGAGTCTGCTCGGCTCGCCAAAAGGGAACCTGTTGATAAGATTAAATTTAGCATTATTTCAACATTTGTGCTCAGAATAATTTCCAAATACTGGTCATCCTGGCAGAATTCACACCGGTGAAAAGTGACTCCATCCTCATTATCGACCAGCCCAGAGCTCTCACAGCCAGGGACAATGCACTGTAGGCGTATGACGGGATTGGAGGGATGGGAACAACCCTCACAATTGTCTATCCACTCAGTGACGTCTTTGGAGATGGAGCGCCAGTAATACAGATCAGACACAGCTTTCAGGCATCTCTTGCGGCCTGCATGATTTCGGTTGTTATGCTGTTCCACCAGCACAGCTTGTACCTCCTCTTCGCTGCGGAGCACCTTGCGCTGCCGTTTGCCATCTATGTACCAAAGAGCATCACCTAAAAGGAAAATGATTTACTGTGGTTATGTTAGCCAGGAGCAATTCATTAATTCATACTCAAACAGGCCACTCACCTGCCCAACGAAACTTCTTACTGCACCTTCTTAATACACCTTTAGAAGCTTTGTCATGTTGTGTATATATCCCAAATCGAAGATACTTCTCAACGTCATCAAACCTGCTGAAGCTCATCCTTCAGATATAAAAAGTCGATATTAGTGCAAAACCTGATTTTCTGTATTAAGATGTGATGAACTGTAATTTTGCTGAATTTGAAGGTAAGTTGTAAAGTGTTTTTACATCATTGTTTTGAATAAGATTAGAATCATGATTAAAGTACACTTTCGGAACAAGTTTAACTCCCAACAACTTGTGACAGACGTTTAGTCTTCTACACACAAAAGATACCCTAGCTGACTTTCAGTAGTTAGTAACGAGACTCAACCGCTCCACTTCAACCAGTTCTCACTACAACTTTCGATTTAAATCAGTTTCTGTTTTAACAACGTACCTCCGTAGATTCTTCGATGCGAATAACGAGTTAAATATTAGTGTTAAGATATCATTTTATTGATATATTTGCCGAGCAGATTCAGCAGAACCAACGGCGCACATTTCTGAAGGGGACAAAATTTTGCGGTACATCAGGTTTGGCAAAAATTCCTTCATAATCCAGCGTTTTTACCGATTTGACGTATTTTCAAAGAAACACCCGGAACTGTCAAACTTGTTTAATGTCCGTATGTAATTTTATAGCGTTTTACTGACGTGTTGAACTGAAAAGTGCCTCAATTGTTTATTGCAGTGTGCAGCAAGAAAAATTGACGTCGGAATTTTACGGAGCCCTGTGCGTCACTTCCTTCTGCCGTCAAAATAAAAGTTGCGAACGCGAAAAACCTACCAAACATCACGATCAGTTTAAAGAAGTTAAAGATTTATTTTATTTGTTTCGGTTCGAGTTGCCTCTCATTATACTCATTATATATATATAATGTGTGTGTGTGTGTGTGTATCGCTGCTGTCGGAACAAAACCTCGTATCTCCATTTCTGTCGTTTTTTTGTTTTTGACGTTATTTGTAAATATGTGTTGCCGTTTACAATGTATGTGAAATTCATGATGAATGGACCAATAGAAACAGCCTAAAATGACTTGGAAAACGTCTGGTTTCATTGACTTACATTAAAGGTAAAGTATGTTTTTTCCTCCTCCTATAAAGTTACTATTTTGGAGATACAAGGTTTTCTTCCAACAACAGTGATATAAATTGTCCCTGCCCAAAGGGGTAAAAATAAAGATTGAGATTTAAATTAAAAGTTTTTAAATGAAAAGTCTCAGACATATATGCCATTTGTGAAAAGTGTATTTATTTCCTCATTTATTTTTTTTATTCTTGAATCTTTGTTGCTGCTTTCTACAAGACAACAGTGGTAATTGACATACTTTTGTAATCACTTATACAGTATCATCCATTCAAGAAACAATGACAGGTCACAAGAAACAACAAAGGAATTAACCAACTGTAGCAAAAAGAAAATTTTCAAGCTCATTCAGGTTAAACGCTTCAATGAGATAACGTCCTCTCACTGCTTCTCCATCAACTAGAAGTCCAGACATTAAGCTCTTAAAACTCCATTAAATGAGTATAGGGTCCGTTTGTATCCAGCTTCAGGACTTGTCGGTTACCATATGTTCCATGTTTGACTTCTGTGCCAGCTTCACTACACTTGGTGGCCAAACTTAGTTCCTTCTCACAGTGAGAGACGAAGCTGGCGTAGAGCTTCTGCCCATCCTCTTTGCCAGTGTTGCCATGGTACTGCATACCTCTACCCTTTGGTCTTCCTCCCAGGGTGGCTTGGGGTACAATGAGAACGCTGCCAGGTAAATCAAGGACAGAAGTATGTTTCCCTGAATCTGTCTCACTAAGCTTCATGTTCAGCAGAGTGTTCACTGAAAGGAAACAAAAAGGAATTAAATCATTTCTTTTTCATGTAGTGTTTACACACATCTCAGTCCTGTGAACATTCTCCTATAATAAAGACCCGTACCCATTTTAGGGATGATGTCTTCAGTTGCACCTTTGAAGAAGCAGACGTAGATAACCATTCCTCGGTTAATCTGTGTGTGGGGGGAAAAAAAATCACTGACAGCATCTAAACTGTCTTGCAATTGATCACCATCAACTTGTGAAGGTTAGCTTTTAGAGGCATTAAACACTTAAGATTTCTTGTTTCTGGTTCTCTTCACCACCAGTGTGAACAATTATGTAACAGTAAATTTCTCTAGAACAGAGTATTTCACATCAAACCACTTTGAATGACTCACACATTTTACAGATTTTAATGATTTTATGATGCAGACTTTTTGAATAATGGGTGGATTTCCTGTTTAAGCCGTTTTTTTTGTGTGTGTGTGTGTGTGTGACCAGCTGCTACCTGTAGTCCTCCTCCAGCTGTTTTTGGGAAGGTACTTTTACTTTAGCCTATTTTTATTTATTTAATTTTTACTATTAAAAAAGTGGGCCAGATTCAGATTTTGAGTAAGTATACCTCGACCCACTGAGCCTCACAGTCTTCCTCAGGAGGTTTGACCTGCAGTCTGGCGTGCAGACACTGCTGAAGGACCACCCGAGCTTTCACTGAATCCACTGAAGACCCGCTGACCGCCGTCATGACGTAAAACCGCATCAACGTCGACAACTGACAATGAGCAAGCAAACAGGACACAAAAAGCAGATCAACAGAGGATTATTTTCCTATTTCAGTGATTATATATGATTATATTTCTCACATAAACAGCGTCCTGTGGAGGAGCAGGCTTCCAGAGATTAGAGAAGGCTGTTCCGTGTGTTATCACGTCATCAAAAGTGGCCTCCGTCCTGCACTGCCTCACTGCAGAGCGTTCAGTTGCAGTTTTCGTTTCATTCAGGCTTTATTTTCAGTAGTTCATTCAGTTTTCCTTAACTCATGATATTCAGAAGGCGGTGATGAGCCGGCACAGCTAGCCGGTACAGTTTTGTGTTCCTGGAGATGAGAACGCTGCGCTCTTCTATCTGCTGAGCTCATGACCGTTTAGAGGTGTTGTATAAAATGTCAGTTTATCACAGCTGCAGAAAGTTCGCCCAGGTGTGTAAACTCGCCTCGGCCAAAGCTGCCACTGATTTACGGTCTAGTAATAGACATGCTGGACCGCTTGCAGTGGTCTGTAAACATGATGTTCGCTTTAAGGTGAGTTCAGGATTCTGCTAAAATTACTGTGTCCTCTATGTTGTCAGTGCTTAAAGGGGAACGCCACCAATTATTCAAAATTTCTACTTAATTGAATGGTTCAGATGTAAACAAAACCATTCAGAGCGGTTTCATATAAAATGCTTTGTTCTAGAGGAACTTCCCGAATCAGAATTGTTCACAGTGGTGGTGATAGGAACCGGACGTCTGAAGAGTTTAAAGCTCCATCATAGAAATGCCTGATGCTTGAGACATACGATAGTTTCACGATAAAGTTTTGGCCTAAAACGTCTTGTTAATTCATTTATTTTAACCCAGTCATGGGGAAGGGGTGCATGCAGGTTATTGTAAGGCAAAACAACCCCCCACCTCATAAATATATATATGTATATATACTTTTACCCTGTTCTTCAGTGGTCAGGACCCCCATGGACCCTCACAGAGCAGGTACTATTTGGGTGGTGGATCATTCTCAGCACTGCAGTAACACTGACGTGGTGGTGGTGTGTTAGTGTGTGTTGTGCTGGTACGAGTGGATCAGACACAGCAGTGCGGCTGGAATTTTTAAACACTGTGTCCACTCACTGTCCACTCTATTAGACACTCCTACTTTGTCAGTCCACCTTGTAGATGTAAAGTCAGAGACGATAGCTCATCGGCTGCTGCACAGTTTGTGTTGGTCATCCTCTAGTCTTTCATCCGTGGTTACAGGACGCTGCCCACAGGGCGCTGTTGGCTGGATATTTTTGGTTTTCTTTCGGGACTTCTTTCGGGACTTTTGCGTTACAAAACACTGCATGGATCCCCTACACCGTTATGAATGTGTTAAAAAAATATATACATTTTAGGACAAAATCTTATCTCAAAACTATCTGAACAAAAGTCTCAGGCATCATTAAAAGTTATCATTTAATGTAATAACTTTTGTGGGGTAGCAGGAGACGCCTGGTTCCTATCAGCCCCATAGTGAAAAATTTGACAATGCTCTTCCATAGATTCTTAATCTTGGTGCCAATTTAATTTGTAAAATTTGGCCATGTAAGCTCAGGGGAGCCAACGTACACCAACAAGGGACAGTTTTGTTTCTGAATTTTTAAACGCTGTAAGCTGCAGTTACATAATACTTTCTCAGGCCTAAACTTCTTGTTGGTGCTAATGCTAATCTGGTCTACAATGAGTCACATGTCTTTGTCACCTGTTAGTCTTCAGGTGAGAGGGCACTGCAGGAAAGGCAGAGGGCACATATGGCACGAGGCTTACCCAAACAAAAACCCATAGCAGGTGTTAAAGAGGTCATCGTTGTTGCTTCAGGAAAAGGAGGTGTGGGAAAGTCTACAACAGCAGGTAATCTTCGCTTGTCCTTACCAAATAGAACATGTTTTTTAATGCAAGATACACTATATGGCCAAAAGTATGTGGACACTGATCATCGCATCCCAAACCCATTGTCCCATTCAAAAACCATGGGCATTAATATGGAGTAACCTCATAACAGCCTCCACTCTTTTGCAAAGGCTTTCCACAAGATTTTAGAGTGTGTCTGTGGGAATTTGTGCCCTTTCAGTCAAAAGAGCATTTGTGAGGTCAGGCGCTGATGATGGAAGAGAAGGCCTGGCTCATAATCAGTGTTCTAGTTTGTCCTAAAGGTGTTCAGTGGAGTTGAAGTCAGGGGTCTGTGCAGAAGTTTCTCCACAACACACTCATGAAACCATGTCTTTATGGACCTCGCATTTTGCACAAGGGCCCAATTATGCTGGAAAAGCATATAATTGTCTAGAATGTCGTTGTATTCTATAGCGTTAACACTAACGTTCACTGGAACTAAGAGGCCTACCATGGACCCGAAACCAGCATGGTTTGCTGCTTCATGGCTGAACTGTTGTTGCTCCTAGACGCTTCCATTTCACATTAATAGTGCTCACAGTTGACCAGAGCAGTTCTAGCAGGGCAGAAATTTCACTTGACAGAAATTTGACTTGTGGCAAAGGTGGAGTCCTATGGCAGTGCTATTTTTTAAAGTCACTGAGCGCTTCAGTGTGACCCATTCTACTGCCAGTGTGTGTGTGTTTGTATGTGCTTGATTTTATATGCTTGCTAGCAATGGGGGTGGCTGAAATTAGAAGTGGTGTCCACATACTTGGCCACATTGTGAATGTTTTCATTTTGAAAGAAGGCTGCAGCAGTCAATGTTTTTGCCTAAATCAAGAGTTTTTTTTACACTGCCAATATTATTAATATTAATAAAGTCCCAAAGCCCTGTGGTTTTGGACTGACATTAAGGGCTGGTTCACTAAGGGCTCTCCCCTCATACTACCACCATACTTTGAAGACACACTCCAAGCTCACAAACTGTTACTTTGTACCTAACCTCAAACAAAATGACAACTGTGATTTAACCTTGCGTAGGAAAAGGCAGTATGGTTTATATATGAGCCTGTCACTTTTCTTGTAGACACTCAAATTACAAAGATGTAACAAGGTAGGATTTACCTTATTTCCCTTTGTGCATTGTGCACAATCAGATCAGAATGGCTCTTCTCAGTTTAACCTTGAAGCTATCAAATCCAGACTTCATTACAGAAATCAGTGCTGTGACTTCTTGCGGCTACTTTGTATATGATCAGGCATCTTTACATGTCTCTTTACAGTGAATCTTGCTCTTGGACTTATGGCAAATGATCAGGTAATAAAGAAACACCCTTAACGTCATTCATATTAAAATCATTTTGCAACACGTCTTATGAGCTGTGTGTGTTGTACCTCCTTTCTCTCAACTCTTCTCCACAGAGTAAGCGAGTGGGTCTTCTAGATGCTGATGTTTATGGCCCCTCAGTTCCGAAGCTGATGAACCTAAAAGGAAATCCAGAATTAACAGACAGTAGGTGATATGCAGTAGTAATGTGGTTATGTTTTTAGGAATAAAAACATCAGCCAAGTGTTGTAATATCCTCATTTGTTTTAGAGAATCACAAAATTATGTTTGTGACTGTTTGGTCACTTTAATATATAATATGTTATACATTTTATACAGCTGTATGCAAAAAGTTTGAATACCTTTGGTCAAATTACATGTTTTGTAGATTTTAGTGAAAATAAATTAACACATGTTGTACAGGGTACAAGTGCAAACGTATGACTTTTTTTTTTTGCACATTAGTGCTTCGTTTCTATTTTTTAGCTTGGTTCAACATACTGGAGAAAATAAATCATGACATATAAAATGTGCCATAACGTTTGCACAGGGCATATTTTATGTATTAATTTTTCTCAGTATGTTAAATTCAGCAAACAAACAGTAATTTTGCATTAAAATGTGCAGAAGTGTGTTCTCTGTAGAGGATGCATCTATGTATTTTCACTGTATGTATCCGCTGTGTGTGTGTGTGTGTGTGTGTGTCTATGTGTGTGTATATATTATACATACAGCCATGTGAAAAAAAAAATATATATATATATATATGGCCACATGGCTGTATGTATAATATATATATTATAAATATGTGTCTTTGGTCTTTATTTTCAGACAACTTAATGAGACCTCTTATGAACTTTGGGATCCCTTGGTGAGTATACAACATTAATCTCTTGTAACCTGTGCTTATTTATCATTTATTAATCATAAGACGTATTATTCAGTAACTGCTATGAAACTAATGTGTAGGTTATGTAGTTATAAGTGTGAGAAAATGAAGTTTTGAAGGGCTGTAAGAAGTTAAGTCAGTGTACAGTAAGTTTCGGTCTGACTGCCTACTTTCTTCAGTATGTCAATGGGCTTTCTGGTTGAAGATACTGCACCCATTGTGTGGAGGGGTCTGATGGTGATGTCAGCAATCGAGAAGCTTCTTAGACAGGTAAGAAGAAATTTGTCACGTATGTCTAAAGTTGTATATTTTTTTCCATTCAGTGTGTGAATCCAATGCATTTATTTAAGAAAAATAGAATGTAATATTTTGAACACAAGGTTGGTAATTTCTTGTTCATGTTGATGGTACCTCTGTGATTTAGTTTGAAAATTTCAGAAATGACATTTTGTTGAACCTTCCTATTGTGTTGATTGGTGTTCAGGTAGACTGGGGGCTTTTGGATTACTTGGTAGTAGACATGCCACCTGGAACCGGGGATGTGCAACTCTCCATCACACAGAACATCCCAATAGCAGGTAAGTACAGTTGTATGCAAACGTTTGGGTGCCCCTGGTCAAATGACATGTTTTGTTGATTTTCTAAGTGAAAATAAGTTAACATATCCCTGCAGAGAACACACTTGGGCATGTTAATGCACAATTACTGCTGAATTTAACATATTGTGGAATGTGACCTGTGCAAAAGTTGTGGCACATTTTATTTTATTTGTTTCTCCAATATATAAATTGAAATTGTGCACTAAATTAGCAGGAAAATTACATATTTAGGTTCTGTATCCAATAAGCTTTCCCACCCCTTACTTAACTCAAAGACATCTGATTCATCCAGTCAGGGACTTGGGAAGAAGTTGATTAGCTGGAGTAGGTGTGGCAAACTGTGGTTGGAACTAGGCTCTGTAGGAAGGTAGATCTCCAGGACCAGGGTTGGAGGCCACTGTACTACAGAAATGCTATTTATTTGTTTTAGAGTGCAATCGTCTAATAATCAGGCAGGTAAACTTTTATGTCTGTCAGTTTTAAATCA